TGTGTGGGGGTTTTTTTGGGGGGGGGGGGGGGGTGCAGAGGGCAGGGAGCATACCTTCTCTACCCAGATCTATCCTTAGTGTTTATTAGTGTTTATCTATGAGATATTGGAAACGAAGTAGTAACTATGATTTCCTTTATGAACTGACAAATGTAGATAACAAGAACTGTTCTTGAGCTGCGGGGAGCAGAACTATCTACAGATACTATTATTGGTTTTTTTTTTTTACAGATGTAGATAGAGTATTTCCTACACTAATATACCTTAATTTCACAAAGTCCTTTAGGTTATGTGATGGAAGCTCATCTACGCACCCACGAAGGAGAAGAAAGACACAGTGACAGGCAGAAGAGCCCAACTAATGCCCTGTGCTGGCTACTGCCCTCAGCCCATCAAAGGCCCATTTTCCCCAAGCCTAAAGGAGCACAGGGGCACAGTGTCAGACCAGGAAACCAAATTAGGGGCTTGGAGGAAGGGACCCCTCTGGGGGCCGCTGCCTGGGCTGTCCCCAGAGATCCCTTGTCCAGGTGTGAAACCTGTGAAGACGAGTCAAACCTGGAGCACTTTTCCAACTGAGGGGGGGTTGCTCCCTGGGGGTGTGGGACACATTATGGATGCAGGGGAAGAGCAGCTTGAGATTGCACAAGGCTTATTACAGGATGTCCAGGGGAGGAACCAAGAGTGGGCAAAGGGATGGAGCTAGGTGACTTGGGAAGGAACAAGTGTGGGAAAACAGAGGAGTAAGGGGATAAAAAGAGCCGGTCCCGTGTAAACAGTTCGCTGTATGCTTGCCTGGCCAGGCCCTGCCCTGATCACCACAGTCTGTCCCATTTGCTGCTTCAATTCCCCCCCCAGCTCTGCCCTGGGTGAGGGCTCTCTTCTCTGTGCATGTGTGTGAGGAGCCACCACCACAGGTTGGAGGCCCCTGTGTCTATGGTGCAGTGGCTGGAGCAAGTGTGAGTGAGCATGTGATCGTCAGCAAAGATCAAAATGGACCAGCTGGTGAATAGGTGAAATGGCCTGGGAGCAAGGGGTTCTCTAAGGGCAAGACCACAGAAGGAGCTGGCTATTGGAGGGACGAGGGGAGTCCTGGCCAGGTGTGTGTGTGTACATGATGGTCTGTACCAGCAACTGGAGTGGGGACACAGCGCTGGGGACTTGTATGTCCAGATGCCAGCAGCTGGGGAGGCTGGGATCCAGGAGCAGCTACTAGGCAGACTGAGTGTCTGAGCCCAGGTGCTGGAGGGATCCACATGGTACATATGGAGATGGATATGTGCGTGTGTGTGTGTATATATATATTCTTGCTAGTGGATCTCCATCCTGCTCAGCCAGAGAGGGGAGCAGGCTGGGGCCATTGGTGCACCCTGTGTTTGTGTGAGTGCTCTGAGTGTCTGGCTGTGATCGGTGTGACCAAGCATGCATGTGTATATGTGTTATATACATGTGCTCTGTGTGCATGTGCCTGCTGGGAATACATGCTCAGCCTCACAACTGGTTGGGCCTGGGAGCATGGAGCTGTGGCAGCCTTGCAGATGTCAGATCAAGCCTGATTTCCCTAACAAAGTTTACCTCTCCAGCTGAACTTAGCCCTAGTGTTTGCCTCTGAGTTACTGGGAATGAAGAAATTATTATGGGCTCCTTTTAGGAACTAATGAAAATGGCTAACAGGGACTTTTCTTGAGTTGGGGACAGCTGAGTTGTCTAAAAGATATAATTATCTTTTGCAGAGCTATAGATGGAGAATTTGCTACACTGATGTACCTCAAAACCATGGCTGAGTTACATCTGTAGCCTATCACCTCCAATCTACCCTTTTCACAACCTGAGTCACACTAGCATGTGCTGGTCAGAGACTAGGAGAAATATTTTACCACATACAAAAACTGAGGTAGCTACTGTGACTTCCCTTCATATTACCACAGTTTCTAGGTATAATCCCTTAATGCCATTACACTTCCTAATCTGACAAAAAAATGGGCTACTGGTGACTTGAAAAATGCTTTTCATCCTATTGCAGACTGGCCACGTTTCCTGCCCTGTAGCTGCTGCTGAGACTTAGCTTTGCTGATGCTGCTGAATTTTCCCTTCTGAAGTCAGAATCTCAAAAGAGTAAGCATTTTCAATACTTTTAACAAATAGTTGGGGGGTTAAAGGATTGCAGGTTATAATGAAGTCTGCCTCCTATGCTTCCTAGTCAGCTAGGAATCTTCTTGCCTCTTTGGGGCTTAACGGTTAGGAAAAGGCATGGTCGCCTGAAGACATCCGATTTGCACACGTGGCGCTCTGGTACTATAAATACTGGCCGTCGTGGTCTCATGCTAAAGAAACTGTACTTCTAATATAACAGTAACGCCTCCTTAAAGCACTTGCGCTTCTGCTAGCTCACATGTAAGTGTACTTCAGCAACAGCTTCCGACACGCTGTGTCTCTTCGCCCTACTGCTGGTCGTAGTCCTCTCCTGTCCCTCCTGCCTCTTTCCGCGGAGCCGCTGCCGCCGTGTGCCCGGCTGCTGCCCTCCCAGCTTCGCCCGCGGTGCGGCGGCCCTGCGCTCCGGCTCCGGAGTGGTCTCGTCCACATGGATGGAAGCATGTGGAAAGCTTTTCGGTTTAACCTGTGTCGCTTTAGAAGGGTAACAGCAAAAGAGGAAAAAAAAAAAAAAAGCCCCTCTTTCAGAAAAGAAGGCTCCATAAACAGAAACAGCAACTTCCTCTGCTGAGAGGAGCCGTGCACCTCAGGGACAGGTCTGGCCACTCGCTGGCTGCCGCTTCTCCTCCTGCCCCCCTGTGCACGCTCCCTCTGCTCAGCATCTTCCCTCTGCTGCAGGATTTCACAGCTAGTGATCTTACTTATTCCCAATTATTTACTCCTCAGTTGCTTACTGACTGTAATTATATGTCTGTAATTTGCTGTTCCAGCCAGCAGCATGGGTTGCTGTGGCTCAGTAACAGGGCCCCTGAGATGTCAGCTTGGCAATCAGGCACTGATGCACCGAAATGACACAAAAAGCATTAAATTTTGATGAATAACAAATGCTCCAGCTAAGTCTTATGTTAAACCTTAACTGCAAAATACTGGAATCAACTGATTTTATGAGGGCACTTGATTAAGGCATGAAGCTCTTGAAACAGAAGGAAGAAATTGTATTGGTAGAACCTGGCATTCATCCCATTGAAAAGCAGATGGAACCAGCGAGTTCCAAAAAATTTATAAAGTAGGGCATATTTTCTCTTGTCCATGCCTTTTACTTTTACTTCTTTTTACTCTGAAAACTGATTTGAAGAGGACTGTGCCAAGACAATGACCATTCTGTAGGCTCTTCCTGTCCTTTGCAACTATACCAACTACTCTCAAGATGAAATGCATTTCTTTTGTCTGTCGGAGTTTGCTTTCAGGCACAATGAGAACCTTTGTACAAACATCCTGTTGTATCAGTGGAAGTTCCAGACACTATAACCGCAGAAGGTAACTGCAGTCTGAAAGGAAAATCATGTCCATAAGTACTGTGAATGTCTTTGCCTTTGACATAGTTCTGCTGTGAAAGTAATCAAAATAAAGCTGAAAAAACATCCAATCTTAAATGCCTGGAAATCAAACTCATTTTTCTATAATGTAAAGTCAGTCTCTGTACCTGAATCTGTCTAGTTTCCGTGAGCATTCAGAGATTGCTGCATGGGTTTTTTTGGAGGGCTTATTTTCTTAATTATTCTCTCCCTCCTATGGATCTTAGATATCAAACAGACTATCATCTTAATGTGCTAACAAGTGGCAAGTCTGGTGGATGGCTCCCGCTACCTTACCAACACTTTCTTACCTCAACAGAACTATTTGTTGAGCCTCCTGCTGCTGTGTGTCTGCTGTATTGTTTGAACTGTTGCAATCCATCCTGCACAGCTTGTACCACTCCATTTCCCCCCTGTGGGAAACAGCCTTCTCTTGGTAGTGAACGGAGCTCTGAAATGCAGGCTTGAATTCGTGCAAAGTTTTCTTTCACTTGCTGCAAAACAGTATTCAATGAAATTGAAGGACTGGAAATGTCAAACTGATAATATGAAATATTTTTCCATAATCATAGAATCATGTAGGTTGGAAAAGACCTTTAAGATCATTGAGCCCAACCATCAACCATGCCCACCAAACCATGTCCTGAAGTGCCTTGTCTATGTGCTTTTTAAATATCTCCAGGGATGGTGACTCGACCACTTCCCTGGGCAGCCTGTTCCAATGCCTGACACCCCTTTCAGTAAAGAAATTATTCCTAATATCCAACCTAAACCTCCCTTGCCGCAACTTGAGGCCATTTCCTCTCATCCTATCACCAGCCATCTGACAGAAGAGACCAGAACCCACCTCACTACAACCTCTTTTCAGGTAGTTGTAGAGAGCGATAGGGTCTCCTCTCAGCCTCCTTTTCTCCAGACTAAACAACCCCAGTTCCCTCAGCCGTTCCTCATAAGACTTGTGCTCCAGGCCCCTCACCAACTTGGTTGCCCTTCTCTGGACATGCTCCAGCAACTCAATGTCTTTCCTGTAGTGAGGGGCCCAAAACTGAACACAGTACTTGAGGTGCAGCCTCACCAGTGCCAAATACAGGGGAATGATCACTTCCCTGCTCCTGCTGGCCACACTATTTCTGATACAGAAATGTGGAAGGAGGCTTTTGAATTCACAGCATCGAGATAAGACTGGGGGTGGGAGCCAAGCTATAAAACAGTAAACAGTGATATGAATTAAAACCAGCTGATTGTTATGCTGGTAACAACACACATGATCACTCAAGTTTTCAGCTGTCTACCTGTTGCCTGTGGCTAGCCAAAATGTAGTAGTTTGGCATGCCCCCCTCCTCTGGCCCTGCATAACATGGAGGCAGAATATAAATAGGAGCACTGAGGTGGTGTGATATCCTCAGGCTATAGTCACCCCTGCCATATCCGTACGCCTTTACTCATCAAGCTGTGGACTTCAGGAACCTGTGTTCAGGAGCGTTTGGAGTCAGACTATGGCAACAACTTCAAAAAGGGGTTCTGCAAACTCATGGGTAACAGGTCCAGAAGCAGATACCAAGAGAAATAGCCTCAAATGTATCCTCTATCATTCTTAATACAGCAGTTGTGGAACTAGGGGAGTTCTGTGAGGAGAATGAACTGCAGAAAGTGATTGGGCTGGGGCATGCCCCCAAAATAGCTTTTCCTTTTGAGACTGGGCTGGTGGACCATTGGTCTGACTCGGGAGGGCATTTCTTACGCATTTATGCTGTTCTTTTAGGACATTCACCACAGTAATGATTATCAAAAAAGCAAACTGACAGAAGGTCTGTGGACCCTCCTGCTTCAAAGATGGGCTACCAGAGCAAGTGTTGAAAGGAAAATTTATTCTATAGCTGGTATTTGTAAAAATGTTTTATTCCTTCAGGCAACAGCTACCACTGTACAATGGCTGCCCCAAGGACAGCTGGTCTGACTCATTATGGCAAGATGACCACTATAAATGCACAGATTATTAACCCATTATGCTCCACTATGATGCTTTGTGTCAGTCTCATGGATTGGAGGATATTGGGCCATATTCTTACTGCTTGCTATGGTGATTTAGATTACCTGCAGTCCAGGGCTGCTGAACCCTTATATCACATATGTTGCTCAAGCACTTCCTTGAACTTGGTATCACTTTATGGCAGTCACCTAAATCCACAGAAGGTAGTCTGAATATGAACCAGGCTGGCCAGGATCATGGTAGACCCATCTCATACTCTTTCTCCATGCAATATTAGTTGAGAGTACCTGGGATCTATTACCCAGCCATGACCTTTCCTTAGCATAGACATGACAATGCTAGGTAGCACCCAGGATCCAAAGGTGTGTGGAGCATCTCAGCTAGTGTTCACAGAGATGTCGGCTCACCTGAGCTTCAACAAGAACTCAAAGGACTTGACATACCCATCAGGTAAACTGGCAAATTTTGGCCACAGGAGAGATTATTAGTGAATTCTACCAAATCTGTTTGAAGCAATATAAGACACTGCTACCAGAGGTCACCTTCCTCACAGAAGAGGCAACAGATGAACATATGACTCGTTTGCTTCAGATGCTTGGAGCTCTGACTCACTGAACCACTCCTGAGAAGCCATGTTTTACAGCATGGTCTTTCAGTGTGACCAAGTTATGAACCAGGGGGCTCAGAAATGTGTTCACAAACAGCTCCGGTGGTTCTGCAAATAAGGTGGGGAAGAAAGCTGGGATGGCTCAAACCTTGCCTCAGAATGGTGAAGAGAGCAGTCTTAAGGAAAGACACCGCATTTTGTACTCCACAGTGCAAGAAGTGTCTGGCCCATTACATCAATTCTGCTGTAAGGTTAGCAATCTTCGATAAATGCACCAAGCAGATGCAGCCAGGAGCCTCTTCAAAGTGCTACAGCAAAATTTGCTGCAGTTCAGATGCCTGCCCTGCAATCCCAGGAGGCAGCTGCAGCTCACGCAGACATAAACCAGCTGTCTCAGGTCAAGTATTGCTCCTAACTGTGGCAGAACAGGGCTTAGCAAGGGCTGCAGGGCAGCCTGAAGTCCAGTTAAGTACCTGTCCTTTGGAACTGGCACCAGCAGAGTTGCATTTTCTCTTGTATATGCACAGCTACTTTAAATGTTAATTTAGGCGAGTCCACACAAGCTGCAGTTTCAAGAATGTGCTTGGGACATAAGTTAAACTTCTAAGCACAAATTGTGTTGTTTAACTATTTCTGACTGCACCCCTGTTCTGGGCACTGATACGTAGCCCAGTGCCATAGGCCTTGACATGTCTCCTTACACGTGACCCTGCTCCTTCATTGCACAACTCCAAGAATTCATAACTTCACACTATGTGGCCAGCAAAACATTTTAATCTGCAACACTACATTGCTTCCAGAGAAAAGCTACCAAAATGAGAGATCAAAGCTGGCCATGAGCTGTAGTAGGCACTGTGCTCACGGCCCCATCTGGCTCCTTCCACATGTTCTACCCTCACCCACTTCACTTTCTTAATTTGCTAGTCCCTGTAATTAATATCTTTCTCCCTTGTTTCTTTTCAGCCCTTTTTGTCAGGGAGGGTCTGGTAGTTGGGGGGGATGGCTGCCCATCCCAAGGGAAAACCAGTAGGAACAGGGCCCCTCAGCTGGAGGAGTCCTTACTCAGTCCCACATTAAAATTTTTTGATGCTTTAATGCTCATTTCCCCTCTTGTCACCATCTATTGTCCTCCACGGTTATTTACTTTCTTCCTTTTCTTTGGCATCCTGCTGCCATTTCCAGGGAAGCTCTTTGGACTTGCTAGAGTTAGGCCAATAGGGGAGACCAGTAGGAAAAGAGACCATAAACAAGTGCTCAGGAAAGACTAAGAAAAGGGTAACCATATATGACACTTCCCCATGTACTCTCCCAATCTCTATTTTCAGCTCTGGGGCTTTCCTGACTTCATATGATTTGTCTAATAAGCAACCTTTAATATAGCTCTATCTTGGTTCCTCTTTGAGAAGTAAGTTTTTCTCTAGCTAGATCAGAAAGTCAATGTGATAAACAGCATGCCCTGTTGAGACAAAGGGACAAATTCAGGAGTACAGAAAAAGCAATGGAGCCCTAGTATTTCTGAAGAAGGCTGAAACGGAGCAGATGTTTATCAGATAGAGATGTAGAACTGCTCCTGATTCTGGAAGCTGCAGAGGACCAGGTATCATTATCAGTGAAATTAGGTCCATTGAAGAAGACAGTCATCTTGCTATACTTTACTGTTCCTAACAGAGAAAGAACAGTCCTGAAAAACAGCCTTCAGTACAACAGCAGATGTCTAAAATAAAGAGATGGCTCACTAGGCAGAACATCCAAGCAAAGCTGGGGAGAAAGGGAGTGGGGGCTCACACTAGAGTTGTGCCTATCAGCCGGGTCTTTGAGTCTGAACTTTGCTGTCTTAGACAAGTCCCAGAGAAACACAATATTATGGCAAAAAAGCTGATGTGATTACCAGTTATGCAAACAGGAGGAGGGGGTATTTTTTAGCTCTCTGTACAGCATTGCTGAGTCTGGTATTGGAATGCAGCATCCAAAGAACCAGAGGAGGGAATACATAGAAGGGCTTGGAGGTTATTAAGGGCCTGTAAAAATGCCTTGCAGTTAGACATACTTTGTTCTCTTTCATTTACCAGTTAGAAGATTAAGATGGGACCTGCTTATATTTAGAGGAAGAAAGTGTAAAATACAAGCAGGTTCTTCAATCTAGTCAAAAGAGGAAATATATTAACAAATCCCTGGAAGCTAAAGCCAATAAATGCAAATTAAAAACCAGGTGAAAGTTTCACAATGGCAATGATTAACCACTGGAAGAAATGATCAGCTGAAGTACTTGATTCTCCATCTTGTAATACCTTCAGATCAAAACTAGATATCTTCCTGGAGGAAGTGCTTTAATGATGTATGGGTACTTTAGTGAAATATAATAGCCTGTAATATGAAGGTAACCAAACAATGTTCTAAGGGTTTCTCTGTCTTTAAAAACTGTGATTATCAAAATGAGGAATTGTTGTTTAAATAAAAAAGACACCCTATTATGAGCAGAAGACTCATATGATGAGGCAAGTAGAGGGATTGTGTCAAAGTGCAGTTGTGCTCTGGTGACCCATGATTACCAAATGAGATCTGAGGTTGCTGTCAGCCAGCACATGTTGGATCAGTGTCAGGACACACCTAGCGAATACAAGAGCAGGTATTTGGCCCCAGACACTTACAAATTAACTTGGCCATAATGCAAAATCACAGAAAACAGGCCTGGAACCCATTGTGAAACAACTACCTAGTCCATCCTACAGTGACATGCCAAGATGAATTACATGTAAATTATTCCTAGGAAGCAAGAAAAGTGTCTGTTCTTAAAGCCCCTAAGCAGAGTGATCTCACAATATCTCCAGAAAATGTTTCTTTGGTATCCCCTTAGTTATCCTTGTCACATTATCTATAACCTATTCTACAAAATAAACACCACCATTAGCTACAGTCTTCTTGCAGATCACACTTGCTAAATTACTGTTGACCTCTGATTTTTCTTTTCCCAGTTGGCCTCTATCTTTCCTGAGATGTGAAAACTTGACAAAACATTTCAGAATGTTTTCACCATTGCTGAATAAGGTGGAAGGGTTAATACTGTGTGTTTACACTAATGTAGTGTAAATGAGAGTGCTCAGTATGACTGTTTATAATAGTATGACTTCATAGATTCTTGTGAACTTTATGATGCTTTGTAATCCCAAACTTTTATTGTAGAGCTGCTAGTCATTCTCCATCTATATTTATTCTGCTGCATATCCCTAGATGAGTGAAATACTTTTTCTTACTGATTTAGATCTATATATTTAAAAGATGTCTAGATGTGGCACTTAGGACATGGTTTAGTGGTGGACTCGGCAGTGTTAGGTTTATGGTTGGACTCGATGATCTTAAGGGTCTTTTCCAACCTAAATGATTCTATGATTTCAGGTATTTCTTAAATTTGGCAAAAATATTTTATATTCTGATCCTTTCCCCTTAAATGTCTGGAACCTCTCCCAAAGTGGTAATATTTGTGTAATCAACAGGTATACAGACCACTTCACCATCCAAATTATTACAGCTGCAGAGTTGTGTTTGATAATTTTGATAGAGAAGCAGTATAGAGAGTGCAGAAAGTAGCATATGAAAGGAGAGGTACAACAGATGTTTTAGAAGGGAACAGCACAAAACTAATTTATGCACATGAGCAACTTCACAGATCAAAGATATGACACTCCTCCTTTTAAACATTCTTTCATAAAATTCACCTCTTCCATGAAGTCTGTGAAACTATGCTCTTTGAGATTCATTAATTTTTAGATATACATTTGTGGTAAATCATAACTTTATTTACTGAACTGCAACGATGTATTGCATTCATGTCTGTTAGATCCCAAGAGACATGATTCCACACATACCGTAAAAGGAAGCAGGCACTCCTGCTGGTTCTGCACCACGTAGAGGCTCAGCAGGGGAACACGGGAAGGGCCTGTCAAACTGCATGCCAAACAGAGTGTGTTTTCCAGCGCTTCAGAGAGTACAGAGCAAGTGTTGGTCCAGGAAGCTGACGTGACATCCACAATGAGAATCCGTGATGGCTGCTGGCAGTGTACTTTAGCAGCAGGGAAGGTTCTCTGCGTTTCTGAGAGTAATTTTCTGGAATTCATGGCTTCTGAACATGGGTATTAGATGTCCAGTTATTCAGCTGCATCTGAACAGGAAAAATTAAGAAATAATAGCAATGAGTGAGACTCTCCCTTTCCCATTCACTTGAAAGCAACCTGAGACATAGCAGACAATAATGAATTAGACCTCTACAGCTTTTTCCGAAGCAATCATTGTCCATACTCTAAGATAAACCCACACAAAGACAAGGGAAAATGCATACAGTCAGAAAACAAAATGGTTCAACTAAAGAAAATGCATGGCAGATACACTCTTACAGATGCAACTAGAGCAGTTAAAAATGTTAATAGCACAGCCATGCCTAGCCCATGGATGAACTGTGTGATATGTCGCATGATCCTTCAGTATGGTTCAGGTGCATAGCAGCAATCTCCAGCAGAGAAGTGATCTCCAGCAGCTGGTGGATGGCAAGACATTGAACTCCTACTCCTACTTCTGCAATGGCCAAGTGATTATACCCAAATGCCCTGAGGAGGACACAGTCTCCCCTCCTTGATACCCAGTATGAGACAAGTAGCTGTCATATCCAAAAAAGGCAAGCATGATGCAGCAAGAAAATATTGCATATACATAAATTTTACTTTGTGGGTGGTGGAGAACCAACGACCTTTGTCCCTCAGAGTATCTAGCACCTGGGGTTAGCTCTCTGCACTGACAAAAGCCTCAATGAATGCAGCACTAAGGTTGCCCAGCAGTATCTCATACTGTTCAAGAACATGGGAGTGCTGCAAGCCTTAAAAAAATCTGTAATGTCTGAAACTCCAACAGAAAGTATTTTCAGCCAAACACCAGCTTTGATTCCCAGAGCTGGCTGGAGATGCTGGGAATGCTATGCATGGAGGTGGCTGTGCTTCATGTGTCACAGAGCCATGCCAACAGCTCAGTGGTGCTGTCAGTGTTGCAGGCAACAGCTTGCACGAGGAAGGAAAGGAAAGATTAGGGCTTCTCAGCTCCTGGGTCCTGTGTGTGTGGGAAGAGAAGTGGTTCTTGTTGCAGTACCCTGGGAGACCGGAGATCCTTTAGGCACATGAACAGAGTGTGTGGTCAGGACACATTTCTCCCCCACCTCTTTTTGTGTGTTTCCTTTCAAATGTCCACCCTTTCATCCAGCAGCACCACCACATATCTCTGCATGCATATGGCTCAACTGGTGCTGCTTGGAGAGACTTCCCCACAATCCTTAAGAAAATTTGACCGTTTCTGTGAAATAGTAAGCAGAGAAGAAGTGAGAAGCAAACAGGAGGAGTGTGCTGTCAGGTCTTGTGTCTTTGCTGTGCCTCACATGTACAAAACAGAGGAAACAGCTGAGCCCTGAGCGAACACCTCGTAGTTTGGGTCAGAGGTTTAGAGGCAAAGTATTCACATGCACTCATCCTCAGACCTTAAATATGACATTTGTTCCCGCTCCGCCATTTCTCTTCAATGCATACATCTTAAGCACAACAGCCAGCATTTTCCTGTTAAAAAATTATTTTTCTTCCTTCATCGTGAACAAAGATCCTGCCTGAAATCTTCTCTTCATGAAATCTAAACATATCTGCACAAAGCACTCAGTGCTGTTTCTAAGGATATAGAAAATGCTTTAAAAATGTGTCTTGGTCTTGGTAATAACTGTAGTATGTAACCATACAAGTCTACTTATGCCCAGAAAAGTGTTTGTATAATTGCACATACCTTCTCAATATGAACTAGAAAAAATTCTTTCTTCCTACAGCTGTGTAAAACCCTGGCAGGCTTTGTAAAAGTTTGAAGCGACTCTGGATTTACATAGTTGGGCTCTGGTCAGAACCCAGGCCAGTATGCACTCCTATAATTTGTGTGGTATGTTCAGCTGAGACAACTCTTTTATGTTCACTGAGGAGACAAGCTACTGTATTTCCTACAGCCTCCAGCACTTTGGAGTAAGAATTTCTGTAAGTCTTGAAAAGAGCAAGAAATGTATTTCTATTGATTTAAGTATCATCAGAGAAAAACCTCTGTATTTCTAGGATGTTTGTCAGTGAAGGCAAAACAGAGTGATCACAGATTGAATTTCAATACTGAGGTTAACATTTCAGAACTGGTGAAAATGTTATATATATAGAGAGAGATCATGTACATACGTGTAGGTATCTTGCTTTGACTAGTAACCTAATATAATTTCATTGGAAAATGGAAAACTGCCAGGTACCACTTTAATCAGTGTCTCTTCTGGAGCTTTACAATTTACAGGAGAGTTTACTAAATTACTTCACTGAATCTAGGAAAATATTTGTCTGTCTGTATTTTTTGTGATGAAGCTTCATACTACTGAACTCTGCAAGCCCCCAGTGCTTTCCCAAAGAAGGAAAGAAAACCCATCTGGCAGTCAGAAATCTAGAAGAGCTGGGTCTTTGATTTGCATTGGTTTCAGAGAGAAAAATGAGCCTTGATTCTGAAAAAGACACAGTTTTCCTAAATTTGAGTGAATTCTCTCATTCTTGACACTGTACAGGACTATGCTTATTTTAAACTGCTTTAGTAGAATGGATCCTGCATTAACTATGCTCTTTATCAACTGAATGAATTTAATTTCTTCATAATTGTGGTGTCATGATCTCTGCTTAGAAATTTTCATATTATTTATATGCATATATTCTCTGTACAGTATTCGACATACTGTGTAAGCTGCCCACCTCTCTTACAGACTACGCCAGTTACACTTAGCTGTGATGAGGCTGGATAACTGAAGAATTCTGTATAGTAGTCTAACTGGTTGCTATGGTAAAATCACATCTTCATTTAAGCAGCAAGTGAACTGATGGAGATCCTAGCCTAAGGGACTACACCATAATTCAGTGTGCATGAGTGAAAACCTTTAGTTCTAGCAGCTGACATGACATTAACTTATTGCTCAATAAAACAGAACTTATCAACTGTCAGAACTAGTTGCTAACGGTGATGTACATTTTGCTCAGTGCAAGAAGACATACATTTTTCAGAACTAGAAAGACAGGGACAGAAAGAAAACTTTGCCATTTTGAATGACTTGCTAGTGCTGATGACATTCTGCAGTTGCATATTATCCCTATGTGCTTAATTTGTTCCACTTATACCAAACCATCAAATAATATCAAAGTCTAAAAAAGTGTAAATGAGAGGCAACACCAAAGCCACTGGTTAAAGAATACTAGGGATAGTCTCCATCTTCTTTCTAATATAAGAACCAGCAAAACCTGGATCCATCCTCACTCTAAGTGGGAAGAAAAAAACCACAAAAATGTGAATAATGAGTTTAAGTTAAGAATGCCTTACTGGGTAGCTAAACCCTACAGGCCTACAACTATGAAGACAACTACTTTGACAGTGGTCTGTTTACAGAGAAGTAGGGAGTAAAACCAAGAAAACCTTGAGATGCGATGATAACACAAGCTATTGGCAAGAAAATGCACACAAAATGGTGAACAAAAGGCACCAACAAACAGTAATAGTCAACAGGTTTAAGCACAATAAAAACTTATTCTGTAAATTATTAAAGAATAAAAGCTACTTCTTAAACACATCAAGAACAAAAGACAATCTCAAAATAGCATAAATCTGCTATTAGGTTATAAGGATATGATTTTCTTTAATGATGCAGAAAAAGTATTCAATAACTATTTTGATCTGAATTTAGAAAAAAGCACTGATAACTAATTATTTTCTTTTCCATTAGTGGTTAGAGAGGATATTAACCTGCAGGTGCTAGGACTGTGAGTTTTACATTTCAGAAAGGGGATCTTTGTGCCCGGGAGCTCTTTGAACCATTCCTGTTAACATTTAACTCATCCCAGAGCTGTGCAAGTTCCAGAGTAACTATAATGTTCTTCTCAAAGAGCACGCAAAATGACTCAGATAGCAATAGCCTATATGTCATAATTTACGTACCAGGCAAATTCATAGGAACAGTGATATAATGCAGTCAATAACAAATTAAAAAATAGTTGCATGATTTAATCTCATTAATCAATACATTTTAGTAGGATTACATATAGGCCTAAGTGGTCGAGACAGGAGTGTCAGCAGAGTATAATTTGCCTCTATGAAGTATTCAATTTAAACACACTTGCTTTTAGTCACCATATCGCTATAAAAAGCAATGAATCCCCTCAATTAATAGATTAAGAGCTCATTAATGGAGAAATTGCAGATATCTATAAATGAGGATTATTCACTAAAATGTCTCCACTGCAGTTATACAGCAATCTATTTTTTACTTAATTAGGTAGAAACCAGATGATACACAAAAATTTACCTCATAAAATTTACAGAAGACACAAACACTGACATTGCAAAGAAGAATCATTTATAAGGGCTAAACACAGTTGCTTATCAAATTGGGCTTATTCACATACTATACATTTTAATATAGCCAAATGCAATTAACCAAAAGAGCAGCAGAGGTAGTGGAACATAAGAGCTTATGTCACCCTCAAGTCAGGAAGTCCCTGAGCTGCAAATAGTTGGAGGCAGAGAGAGTGGTCTGCAGTGGCATCACTGCAGACTTACCCTCTTCCTACACTCTTCCCAGAGCATTTGCTGTGGGCCAGAAGTTCATGGACGAGATGGATCTTGGGTCTTACCCTATGTCACTATTTTCATATATTTACCATTAGGAGTTTCAAACTAGCTGGTTTAAAACCGTGCCATTTTCTGATTAAGCTTCAAGACCCTGGGAAACGTGAATATTTGCATGTGGAAAGCAGACCAAGCTGCATAAATAAGTGGGTTTACTAGAGAAAAAAACAGCAAGCCAAGGAGAAGCCTGAGCCATGAAGTGGCTATGCAGTGTGGATGGCCTCTGGTGTATATCTGTTTGTCTACCTAGCCTAGAAAGGAAGGCATTTATTTAAAAAGGTCAGGATGAACAGAAGAATAAAAGCAAACAAACAAAAAAAGTTAGCATAAAATCAAGCTACTGAAAACAAAATTATTCAAGATCCTATATAATAGAAGATATTACATGTTTTTCTATACACAAGTGCTATAAACAATAATAAATAAGTGGCTTTAGGCTTGTGCTTTTA